TTCCTCTCCTGCCTCAGCATATCTGAAATGGCTTTAACATCTTGCACACAGAGATAATAATAATAATCTTTTCATTTGATATAGCGCTTTTCACGTCTTCTAGACGTCTCAAAGCGCTTCACAGAATATACTATAAAGTGAATTAACTGTATATTTGTGGGCGAACGCGGCAGCCAATTGCGCACAGCAATGTCCCACAAACAGTCGTAGATTGAAAATGACCAATTTATTATTGTTTGTGGTTTTGGAGGTATTATTATTAGGCTCTGTGTGGAGTAAGGAAACTTGCCCAAGGTTTCGCCCTCTGCCTGGAATTGAACTCAGGTCTCTCACTTGCAAAGCGAGTGCTCTAACCCCTGAGCTACAGGACTCCACTGATACAGCAATTAAGCACACATTTCCCTACAGCCAAGTGAATATTAAATAACCTTCAGATCCTTATTAAACAAGCTTTTGTTTAGGTCTCTCCACTTCAGACACACGGACATAAAGTTTAGCATGCTTTCCACCAATTTACACAAACTGTCTGGAGGTGTGTCGACATTATGCTCGGATGCAAGGAATGAGGGGATAACTAGGCCAATCGTACATAGTTAGCAAGGAGCAGACCAGCTTACAATGCAGCAAACTAACAACTCTCAAGTTGATGTAACAGCTGGAATCTAATCTCCATAGGGAATAACGCCAGGCCTATGGAGGCGTGAGGCAGGTGTGTGTGTTTTTTTTTAAACTGTGCCAGTAATCCTCTTTAATTTCACCTTGTGAAATCAAAACTATATTAGTGAAAACAAGATCTTTTGTTGTCGACATTTACAATTGATTCTGCGCGATCTCCTTGCGTAAGTTCCGGAAAGTGAAGGACCACGTTTGGAAGCACATTGCAAAATGTCGTCTTAGATTTTTAAGACACCTTTGAAATCAATCACTTTGTGCTCAGTCTCTCTCTAGTTTGGACGTCTTTGGCTGATCAGCTCTGGGAAATCAATATGAAACATGAACACCCCAGAACCCGATGGAGGCCAAAAAATTAACAACAACAACTTGCATTTATATAGCGCCCCTCAAGCAGGGCAGCGTCCCAGAGGCAATTCAGCGGAAGAACTGATTTTAACTTAGCTTACGCTGTTTGTGTACAGCACTTGCCAAGTGCACGAGTTACCGTGCAGCTTCATACAGCAGGTAAGAGACAAAGAGCCCTCGCAAAATCATTCACCAGAAAATGGAAACACAAGCAACCAGAGGAGGAGTAGAAAATAATAGGAAGCAGATTAATCATTGGAGGACTCTGCGTTCTGCTCCCTTTGTGTCATATGCCCCCCAAACCCCCTCACTGTGAACTGGGCACAGACATGTCACTGATGAAATAATAGGTTCAAAATATGTTTGAGAAGTATGAAATATTCCCTCGGTAATTGATTTCCTTTGGAAAAACAACACTTGAAGGTGTTCAAATGAAACCTGGCACCTCTCTGTGTTCCGATTAATGAGACCATCTTTCTGCGCAACTTAAGAATTAATTATGAAATATTTTATTGAAGAAACAAGAAGCCTCAAGGTAACGCCAGCCTTTCTACATTTCCGTGAAGGTCGACTAAATAAAAAAAAGATTGAAAGCATGAAAGTAAAGGAAATAACTTGCAGATTACACAACATTAACTCTTGCTTTCACAACAGAGAGTAAAGCCTATTTCCGTTTGAATATTTACACTAATAATAATCCATTTTTATTGTGAGGCAAATGCACATTCCTTACTTCCTTTCTGATCCAGAGGTACTAGCAGGAATTGGCACAATGTAGAACAAAGATAGTTCAAAGGAACCAGTGCACATTAATGGAATGGGAGCACCACTAGATTATACCTTGATAGGAAAGTGTTGCCTCTTTAGCAAGGAATCACAATTTGTTACACTTAAAAATTAAAATCAATTCAATCAAACTTTGCCTCAAATTGGGCGTTAGGACTGGATGATACTTTCAAGTGAAATAATTACAAATCGTGGCACTCTATCCAGGAAATCTAGTTTAGCAATCTTCTGCAGTAAACCTGTCCATTACACATACATAGCACCCAGCAAAATGGTTGTTCCTTTACATATATATATATATATACTAGCTGTACCCATTGCAGCTTCACTTGCAACCAAAGCATTCAATCTGGAATGTAGATTGACACACAGATAGACATTTTGTCTTTATCTATACTCAGCGGGGAGGCCTCCTTTTGGAAGGACTTCTTTAACATATTTTCTCTCACTGTCTCACTCTTAGTCTTTCCTCTCTCTCTCGCTCTCTCTCTAGCTCCTCCCTCTCTCTCACTATCTCAGTCTTTCTCTCTGTCTGTCCACATGGGAGGATTCTAGTTCCTATGACAACCAGAAAAAAGTGCCATACATTTGTTGCAGATGTAGATGTATCTCTCTGAACCGTGTGTGCTTTCCTCTGTCACTATGTAGTTGCAGAATAGAGAGAGAGATGCATATCTCATCTTTTGAGGCTTAGTTAAAGCATTTTTGAATATAACGCGTCAATGATAGGAGATTTCCCCCCAAAAATATGCCCATGGCGTTGCCAGATGCAAGACCTTTCCGATGAGGTATAAATCATGTCTTTATGTCAATCGGTTATTGCGTGATTGTCGGTTACACAGACAGACACTTTGTCTTTATTAGTATAAGATATATAAAATGCCTTTCCCCTGGCAATCTAAGATAACAGTCTAAACTGAAAGCCTGATTTATAGTCTTAACGGAAAAAAATGTGACGTGTATTTACAATTCCTTTCACACGTTCAACAAGAAATTCCCAGAGTTGTTGAGTCAGACGAGTTGCTGCCCGAATTTTAGCTTCAAGTAATTTCATGGAAATTCTCACAAGGCTTTTCAGATCACTATCTGGAGTCTGGTCACTCAATCCTCAACCGTTTGTGGGGACGCCGCTGTGCGCAATTGGCTGCTGCGTTTCGTCCACAAAATACACAAGTCAATTCACCTTGCGGTATATTCTGCAAAGCTCTTTGAGATGTGATAAGGCATTGTATCAAATGCAAGGATTATTATTATGATTATTATTAAACCGGCTACAGAATCGATCACTGATTATTCTGATCAACACGTTTCTATGATGCCGTGATCATTCACCTACAAAATACACAGTCACTACATTTCACAGTAATTCCTGTGAAGCGCTCTGAGGCACCCTCCCAGTATGAAAGGAAATGGAAAAGTTATTATTATTATTATGAATAATATTAGCATGTGCGTATTGACACGGAGGTGACACCGGTCACCGGGCATAGAGGGAATCTCTTTTGCCAGCACCAAAAAATAAAACAAGAAGTGAATAAAAACACACGTTAACATTTGGAAGATACATTATGAAATACCGTAAGCGATGTCAAGGCAGTAACTTCATTACAAAGAAGGGTTAAAATGCAGTTGGAGTTTGTGACATTATCCGTAACCCTTACAAGCGTATAGCCATGTAATCACTTTGCTTCCAACCACCCAACATTTGATAGACAGTGACTTGTTCTGAAGCATTTATTTGGTGGGGTATAGCCTTTGTTTCTGCCTAAAATTACTAAAGGCAAAACCATTCCAGCGTAATACAACGTTGTGTTTGTCGTAGCGCCTTTCACGTCAAAGTGCTTCACAGGATACACTGAAAAGTGTAGTGATTGTGTATTTTGTACAAGTCAATTCACCTTACAGCATATTCTGTGAAGCGCTTCAGACGTGTGCAGACTATGCAAGGATTATTATCATTATTATTAAGCCACGAAGTATAACAAAGAGGGATGGGAGAGAGAGGGAGATAGATACAGGAGGGTTCCCCCCCAAGCAATAGCATAAACAGATTAGTTTACAAGGAAGGAACAGGGGAATCCAAGGCACAAGCGATCTCTCACCTGTTTAAGGCTGGTGATAACTGGATGCTCACCAGTTATCAGGTCAGCCCAGTCAAAAAAAAAATCACAGCTCAGTTGTCACTCAAGTATATTTAAGTGCACACGATGGCACATTATACCGGTTATTTTAAGAGGGAAACTTTCTTTCCCTTTTAGGTATGCGTTAAGAAAAAGTATTTCACTATACAAGGAGACAACCAAGTCACACACACAGTATGTGTCAGACACTGTCGAACTGAAACAGTCTATTAATTCCACAGAATCTTATGATTTAATTGAGCCTTCTCCATCCTCCCTGTATTGTTATTCGTCTACATGGTCTGGTTTCTAGTAAATGAACCTGATTAACGCTTTTCTGCAAGTCAAGTCTTTGAAAATGATTTTTTTTTAATTTAAAATGAAGGGGGAGAGAAAACAGTAAAGAAAATTGCTCACCATCTGATTAAAATCTCATCTCCAAACCCAGTGATTTCTCCTCCTCTATGACTCTAGCCTAACCACTAACATGCTAAATGCTATATAAAAAAAATTTAAAAAGCAAGGCTACATCCACAGCTGAGTCAGTCAGTACAGGGGTGGGGGGGTGGGGGGGACAATTAAATTATCATTTTGCTTCAAATTAGCCATGATTTCAAACCATCTCTCCTTATTTCTATTGCTCTCCTGTTATTGCAGAATTAGCCTCAGAGTGTGTGGCCATGAGAAAAGGCTGAACACAAGACCTACAGTACAGTACAGAACAGCACAGGGACTCAGGTGGGTCTGTCTGTCTGTCTGTGTTTCTGTGTCTCTCTCACTCTGTGTGTCTGTCTGTGTCAGTCTGTGTGTGTCTGTGTGTTTTTGTGTGCCTGTCTCACTCTCTCTCTGTCTGTCTATGTGTGTGTGTGTGTCTGTGTGTGTGTTTCTGTGTGTCTGTCTCACTCTCTCCCTCTGTCTGTCTGTGTATGTCTGTGTCTCTCACTCTCTCTCTCTGTCTGTCTGTCTATGTGTGTGTGTGTCTGTCTCACTCTCTCCCTCTGTGTGTGTGTGTCTGTGTGTCTGTCTCACTCTCTCCCTCTGTCTGTCTGTGTGTGTGTGTGTTCAGGTACCTACATCTCGGAATTTGTTCCAGTATCTGAGCTGCTTGTCATACTGAGAGACTGTACTCAACCATTTCTCGTTATCCAGGAAATTGCCATTGTTAGTCACCTCTGGTCGTCTGCCATCAACTTCCAGGCAAAGAGCCACCAGAAAGCTCCCCATCAGCACCAGCAGCATCTGCAACATCAAACACTGCATTACACACACATATACACACACACATACACATATACACACACACAGAGTATAGAGAGTACACACAGCGCCTGGTCTGTGAGAGTAGGAGAGGGAGAGAGAAATCTCTGCTCAAAACGAACTAACTCTTGCAGGTAGCAATGCAATCAAGAGCTGTAACCCAGCTCCAGCTCCAGCTTACCTTTGCAGGACTCAAATGCAGGTCTGTGCCAGTGATGGGGAGAGACAGAGAGAGAGAGAGAGATGGAGAGATGGAGAGAAAGATGCAGAGAGAGGGAGGGAGAGATACAGAGAGAGATGGAGATGGAGAGAGAGGGAGATGCAGAGAGATGGAGAGAGCTTGCCAGCTGCAGATGGTTCTTTTAGGATCAGTCCTACACATGAAGCATCTATCACTGTGTGGTGTGTTAACTAACACGATGCTGCGCCACCTTACATCCAGTGTGTGAAATGAACACATTATACCCCCTGTGAGCTGACGTCAATGCCTGGCCCCCAATCCACCTCTTTATACATCCACAAATAAAAGCACCCACTGGATTTGAGAGCCCCCCCCCCCCCCCACACACACACACACACACACAGACACACACACAGACTTTAATTGCAAATTGTTCTGTCTGGACAGCAGCACTAATAATAATGATTAATAATTTCCATCACTCTCCAAGATGACCGTCTCCCCTTTCCGGACCTGATAATCAACAATATTAATAGTAATCTTTGGATTTTTTTTTTCACGCCTCATCAGGTCTCCGAGACGTCTCCAGGTGAATCGACTGCGTATTTTGTGGGCGAAACGCGGCAGCCGATTGCGCCCAGCGACGTGCCCACAAAACAGTCGTTTTATTCGTATTAACTGCAGTTAGGAAACAGCAGTTGATCCAGATTGCACACACACACACACACACACACCCCTTATGAATTAGTATTAAATTGATATTACTGGCTGGCACATGAACACATTAGAAAAGGGAGTGGTGTGGCAAATGTCAAAGATCCTCAGCTATTATTTCTGGCACAGACACACACACAGTGCAAAAATACATCATCAAAGACCGGCTAAATGAAGTCAGTCACAGCTGCCTCAGGAACTCGGTTATAACTCCATCATCTCAGCTGATGGGCAAAGTTTGCACTGCAGTGAATGCTGACTGACATCCCCCCCCAAAAAAATAATAAATCGGTCACTTCACTCCACCACTGTTTGTGGGGGACGCTGCTGTGCGTAATTGGCTGCCGTGTTTCGCCCACAAAATGTACAGTCAATTCACTCCACAGAATATTCCGTGAAGCGCTTTGAGACGTCTCAATGGCGTGACCAGGCACTATATCAAATGCAAGGGTTATTATAATTATTATCGTTATTGATTAAAATATATCAGCGCTCAGAGACGCTGTCCTGCATGAAGAGCATGATTTAAATGGAAGAAGTTGCATATGGTTTCAAGCTATAACATTTTTTTGTCCCCAAAAGCGAGGACAAAATTATTTTTAAAAACTTTACAGTTGGCCGGGACGATAGGAAAAACACTCCTCCTTGTGAAATAGTGTCATGGGATCTTTAATATCCATCTGGACAGAGATGGTGTCATATTAAGAAAAAAAATACACTCTTATTCAAATTGCACCGGGATTTTAAGTATGTAATTACAAGCAGACGTTTCAACTTCCCATTGGTTTCTTGTAAACGTTGATGTTTAAGTGTTAGGTTGGGAATACAAACTATTTGAACGAAGCCCTTTAGTTGATTTAGTTCTTTCACTCACTTAAAAAAATCAATAAAAACCCGCATCAGGCACACGGTTTCCTTGTGGCACAATTACGTTTGTTTAAAAATAAACATTCTTTGAAGCATATTTATAGAATCGCAGAATCCTACAGCCCAGAAGGAGGCCATTCGGCCCACCGTGCCCGTGCCAGCTCTTTGAAAGAGCTACGCAATTCGTCACACTCCCCCATTCTTTCCCCATGGCCTTGCAATTTTTTTTTCTTTCCAAGTCAATATTGTTACAGAACGGCTAATTCCATTAAAGGGTGTTTACATCACGGAAGCTTGTTAACATTTGTGAGTTTACAAATGACACAAACTACATGTCTGTGAGCAATGGGGGAATCTGAGACAATTTCTAATGAGATTCCTTAATAAGGAAAGCAAAGTGTGTCAACCTGACCCACGGGAAATAAACTCCAGCATAATGTATTTTTGGAGCAGGAATGATCTGGTTGATGTTCATCTGACTCCTGGAGGATTAACTTGATACGAAATTCTGTTAGGAATCTTCAAATTAAGACACCCCCAATAATGTTGTTTTGATGGATTTAATAATATTAATCCTTGCATTTGATACAGTGCCTTATCACCTCATTGAGACATCTCAAAGATCTTCACAGAATATATTGAAAGATTGCCTGTGTATTTTGTGGGCGGCAGTCAATTGCGCACAGCAGTGTCCCACAACCAGTCGTGGATTGAGTGACCAGATTATTCTTCTTTTTTTTTGAAAGGGAAGTTGTATTCGGTTCCGTTACTAATTTACTAAATGCACAGTCACTACACTTCACAGTAAATCCCGTGACATGCTTTGAGGTGTCCTCTCAACGTGAAAGGCACTGCAATTCACGTGTCTATAATCCAAATAAGGTGAGACGAATGGCTTTATTGGAAAAAAAAGGCAATTTTTTTTTAAATGGCCCAAAAATGATAGAGATTTATTGTTTATTTGGAAAGCAGAACTCCGTAAACAGAAATGTTTGTAGCAGCTAAAATAGAGGCAAATCTACATGTGAGCCATAAATTACAATGTACTCAAACTTCCAAATTGATTCATAGCCTAACGTTGCTGTAAAGCCCGGCTTACAATAATAATGACTCAAACTGGTAAAAGACCAAGGGCATTGCACAGCGTAAAACTGCATCCACCGCAACCTCATTAAAGAAGACTGATGTAGGTTTATAAGCAGTTCAAAGTAACCATACCAATCTCACTTAGTATTAAGTTCAGTTGGAGTTGTACAGATACAGCAGGCTCAGGGAATACAGTCTGTCATCGATTCACAAAACCAAGTAAAAGCCAAAATCAGAAAACTCATTTCCATTTAAAGAGCTGCATGTTGGGTTTCCCGAGGGTATAAACAGTGTCTGTGTGCAGTAGGTTGGCAATGTGGTTGGAGTTTCATTGAATTTATTGTCCCGTTGGGACAAGACAGTAAACAGGGTTCAGCGGTTCCCTACGAGTTTTATATAGGTTATGACTTATCCAGACGTGAGTCAGCCTTATTCAGTGGTAGCGCTCTCTCTCTCTCTCTCTCTCTCGCCTCTGAGTCAGATGGTTGTGGGTTCAAGCCCCCAAGTCGGGACTTGGAATCACATTGTCAACAATGACACCCAATGCAGCGCTGGGGGTGTGTTGCATTCTCGAAGGTGACGTCCTTTGGATGAGACGGGTGGATGTTGGAGATCCCATGGCACGATTCAAAAAGAGAAGGGGGTTTCTCCCTGTATCCTGGCTAACAATTCCCCAAACAAAATGGGTGGCTCAATCCACGACTGTTTGTGGGGACACTGCTTGTGCACAATTGCCTGCCGCTTTCGCCCACAAAATGCACAGTCACTACACTTTACAGTATATCCTGTGAAGCGCTTTGAGACGTTTCAACGACATGGTAAGGCGCTGTATCAAATGCGAGGTTTTTTTTTATATTATTATTAAGAATGCGGCATTTGCCATCTGCTCTTATTAGCAAAGTTACGGTGCTAAAAGGCTTCAGCATCTCGCAAAACATTTCAAATTGAATTAAGAAATAAATGGCCCCTGGAAGCACCTTGATTTTGGTGTTCAATGGTGTAGGGCGCCAACTGTGCATTTTATTTAATTAGCAAAAATAATATTCAGCCTAAAAGCCTGAAATTATACCCCTGGCTGAGTCAGATTGTCACCATTAACTGTTTGAATGCCAACTACTTCACCGTAAGGAACCGGCAGAAAAGATCGTTACAAATGTAATTTGTTGTTGTTGTGACATCAGGCAATGAATGCATTGCCCACTCCTTCCCCATCTGCAGGTTGTGGCTGTTTCTTACGTCTTACAAGGATTTGCCCTGCAATAGGTTACCTTTCGATTCGCCTCAGCTTGAATTCCACTGTTGTATGAGGCGGAATGGTCTGAGTCGATCCTGTTTAAGTGTTTGTTATTGTTGGGCTGATTTCCATTGGAAAAAAAATCGTGTCTTGCCCATCGGGATCGTTAAAACCTGGGGTGCGTTGCAATCGGGGTTCGACACAGTGAAGATATACTGTAAAAAAATAATAATGAGACGAATTTGGTCACTTCAATCCACGGCTGTTTGTGGGACACCGCCATGCGCAATTGGCTGCCACGTTTCGCCCACAAAATACAGAGTCAATCAATCCACTTTACCGTATATTCTGTGAAGCGCTTTGAGACGTCTCGACGACGTGATAAGGCGCTGTGTCAAATGCAAGGATTATTATTAGTATTATTATTAGTATTATTTCAACCACTCAGCCGATTTTCACTGGCCGGTGCGCAGTTGAAAGGCTTAAATAAATGACTCCAACCAGTTAGAGGTGAGCTGGGCGGAGATTGCGATGACGTGGGGGGGGGGAAGACTCAGGTTTATCAACGAATATCCGAGAGTGATTAGAAGTGCTGTAATCTCCTCAAAGAGTTCAGTTGACATAGAGACTCAGGATCACACGGTTGCGAACAGTGTCCATATCCTGTGATTGAGACTGCATTTTAGGATCACTTCAGGGTATGAATTACCTTAGAATATATTGCTGAGTAGTGCACGGGGCTAATTCAATTTTTATGAACATTTTTAATGCTGCGCTCAACGCAGACACTGACATTCAGGGCACTTCTTAATGATCTTTCTAGAATTTGACATCAGTTCATATACTGCTTCAGTTCCACTGTTTTTTTTAATTGTCTCGTTGCTCATCACTCACCCTTCAACTCCTGCCCTCTCCTCCTCCACTCCTCCATCTCCCTCCTCCACCTCCGTGTGAAATCGCCCATAAAATATACAGTCGCTACACTTTAATAATCCTCGCATTTGACCCAGCGCCTGATCACGTCTTCGAGACTTCTCAAAGCGCTTCACAGAATACACTGTAAAGTGAATTGACTGTGTATTTTGTGTGCGTAACGCGGCAGCCAATTGCGCACAGCAGCGTCCCCACAAACAGCCGTGGATTGAGTGACCAAATCATTACCTTTATTTTT